CTAAAATATTTTTCAAATATCTGAAATTGACCATCTAATATGTTTTTTCATGAAAATTATAGTTATTTGCTCATTTATTCAACAAATACTGATTGGACATCTATTATGTGCTAGTCCTATGCTAAGTACTAAGGATAAAAATAAAAAGTAAGAACCTCTGGTCTTATGGAACTTCAAATTCATTTAAAAGCCATCCAGATATAACCTTGATCTAAAAATTTAACATTTTTATAGGGAGGAAAGGAGACATAACTGATAGCTACCTTTCATTTTCTTTTTAAATCTCTATTCATTTAAAACTTATCCAGTATTATTCCTTGTAATAAAGAACTTTTCAGTGAAGAAAATAATCTAGTGGAAAGTAAAAAGAGAAAAGGACTAAAGTGAAAATAAAATGAGATTTTGCTTAAGTTCTTTGCAATTTTACATTTTTATCACATGATTAAAAATTAGAACAACCTTTCTGGGGTAAAAAAAAGAAAATGATATTTGTCACAAACTTTAAAAATCACATATTTTAGTCTGGTAATTCCACTTCATCAAAATCAAAAATGCAAAGATTTGTACACAAATATGTTTATAACTATATGAGAGAAAAACAGAAGAAACCCTAAATATCTAAGAATGGAAGAAAGATAAAACAATTACAGTTTATCAACATAACAGTCTATTATGCTGTCAATAAAAAGATGTTTGCCAAGAAATTTTAGAGTAAAACATTTATCATATAACTTTAAATGAAAAAAGCAGAACATAAAACTATGTATATCCTAAGATTAACTATATTAAAATACCTATATGCACAGAAGAAAATCTATAAAATTCTAAAAAATCTATTGGAACTGTGACAAAATATTAACAGTTATCTCTGGGTGAAAAACTGAAATTTCACAATGCATATTAGCATATTCAAAGATTCTAAGGATTCCTCAAGTAAAGAAATATATTTGACTTTCATCACTGATTAATTGTAAAATACATTTGACTTTTAACACACCAATTGGTATAATCACCAATTCAGAAAGTCCAAAAAAAGGAAACATTACATTTAAGTAAGTGGCTAACACTTGTGGTCTCCTGAAATTAATAATGCACTATATTATAATTGGCAACATTCCAACCTTAAGACATTTCTTTCAAACTTTAGCAAGTGTGATTTAGAAGGTTTAATTTCACACACTAAAATCTTTTCTCAAAAGATGTTGAATGCTCACTTTGCTATTTAAAAAAAGCCTGCAATTAACTAGCTACTTTAAACAGGTTCTCTATAGCAAAATAAATATTAAATCTTCTGCAGAAATAATTTGGAGATATTTTTGTAGGTGTAATAGCCAGAAATCAGAAGAGTGAACTTTAGGAATCCAATTACAGAAATGTTGACTTCTCAGGAAAATTTTTACAATCTGAAGTGAGCATGAAAAGCAATGTAAGAAAGTACGCTGACCAAGGCTAATCACTTTGGAGCTCATGAGTAACATCATAGTACACCATGGACTTAGACCAAATAATGAAACGCCAAATGGAAAATGGCACAAGTCCATGGATTGTAAATAATGTATCAAAAGAAAATAAAGGAAAAACTCTTTCATTAGAGCAATTAAAAGTGCAGTTGTAGTACCAGTTCCTATGATGAATAAATCAGTTCAGCAGTTCTAAGAGTGGACAGCCACTGTTTAAACACATTCTTCATTGGCAATAACTTTAAGTTTAAAAGCTGACTGTAGGTTTCCTTAGCTCCTAAACTTTTTTAATCACTAAAATGTTTTGGGATGGTGCAGTTGGTTATAACCCTATCCCCTGAAATTTTCACATGAGGCATTTGATGATTAGGTGTCTACCTGACCCATTTTATTATGTTACGGTACCCAATAAAATACAAATACTGCAAATATTCATACCAATATCGGTATTCATACCAATCAATGTCCCCAAACTTTAGACCATAAATTCCAAAGAAGTGAAGTTTCTACTAACCCAACATCAATCATTCTTCATTCTATAATTCCATTTGTCAAATTCTTCATATGAAATGAGCATGTTCTGCTACAGAGCTTCTGAAAAACCCCAAAGTTGAGCTTTCAGTAGTAAATTTGAAAATGTTTCAAAAAGAATTCAAAATCACATTAAGCAGCCTAAACTAGCAGTTAGTCCTTGGGAATGTTCTTATCTCCAGGGTACTGTTTCCCAGCCAAAACTTACAAAACAACTGTGTTCTATAAGAAGCTAACAAGTGCCTGCTTCACTTAGCTTTTGCTAATGACCATAAAATTTAGTGGCTCAAAATAACTTTATTATTTCTGACAATTCTGAGGGTTAACTGGTTTCTCCTGGTTGGGGCAAACTTTGATTGGAGTGGGATAGTCTAGCATGGCATCACATGTCTGACAATTGGTGATGACTAGAATGAGGGGATCTCAACTAGGAGTGCTCATCCCTGTTCACACAGTCTCTCATCCTCCAGGAAGCTAGTACAGATTTCTTAACAAAGCTAATGCAATGTCAAAGACCAGCAAGAGAAGGCAAGCCCTAAGTGCTTTCAAGCCTGCTTGCATTATGGCTGTTAACACTCCACTGGCCAAAGCAAGTTACATGGCCAAGTGCAGATTCAAGGATGGAAAACTTGACTCCCTAGCGTTTAGAGTAGGAGCTACAAGACTGCAGTGCAAAAGGGCAAACAGAGTGAAGGGAAGAATTTGTGGTCACTTTTTGCAATCTACCACACTGCAAAATGCTGCAAGTCTCTCCGCCACGTGGTCCATGGTGAAATAAGTTTAAATAACAGCTCTCTTTTGACACTTCAAAATACATATTGACATATTACAATATAATATAAAGCAGAACACACTGCCAATGCTTGTTTCAATGTTCATTTTCTAAAAATATTAATATATTCAAAGAAAACTATAAAGCCATCCCCCACCCCCGAATATTAGGCCCATGTGTGTCACAGGTGACGTAACAGGTGGTCCATGCATAAAAGGTAACTTCTGTTGCCCTTGTGGTGATCTCACTGAAAACTCTGCAGAGACAGTCAATGAAGTATATGTAAAATAACCCAAGGAAACATCAAGCATCATTAGTAGAAAGTATCATAACTAGAAGATTTTTTTGTTGTTCTAAAATTAGCCTAGTTGACATTTTCTGGTAAAACTAAACATGGAATTAGTATACAACCCAGTAACTGTACTACACTTGGGTATTTGTTCCAGAGAAATAAAAACTTATATTCACACAATACCTGTAGAAAAATGTTCATAGAAGCTTTATTCATAATAGCCCCAAACTGGAAACAAGCCAGATGTCCTTCAACTGGTGAATGGTTAAACAAACTATTGTACACATATACCATGGAATACTACTCAGCAAAAGAAAGGAACAAACTATTGATATATAACAACTTGAATGAATCACCAGGGAATTACAGTAAGTGAAAAAAACTAATCCTAAACAATTATATAATGTATAATTCCATTTATATAACACTTCTGAAATGACAGAATTTTGGAAATGGATGCATGAACAAGGTGGGTATAGTTATGAAAGGGCAAAGCAAGGGATCATTGTGGTGATGGAAATCCTCAGTATCTCGATTCTGGTGATGGATACACAAAACTTTACATGTAATAACACTGCACAGAACTAAACACACAGACACAGACACACACGTACACATAAATGAGTACAGGCAACACTGGGGAAATCTGCAAAAGATCGATGATTCTATCAATATCCTGCTTGTGATATTGTATTATAGGTAAGATGTTACCATTGTGGGAGGGACTGGGTAAAGGATACATAGGTTCTCCCTAAAGTATTTCTTACAACTATACTAAATCTACAATTATCTCCATAAAAATTTCAATTAAAAAAATTTTTTTTTTAAGTTTAGCTTAGGAAGGTAGTTTCCCTGGGGTCTTAGTTTCTTTCAGAGTTTAATTCTAACAGTGTGGCTAGCATGAGGGTACAAATGACTTACATTTGGGACATCAATTGCTACCTCCCTCATGGCACTGGGCCTGATGTCATTCATCCCCTGCAAGAAATCTTTCAGAGTAATCTTCACCAACCCAGCCATCTTGCTGTCAGGGAGGTTAGGGTGTTTCCTCAAGACTCTCCTCAAGGCATGAAGACCTGTAAAGAGAAAAGTAACACAAGCTTTGTCTTCCACCTCATAAATACACACTGAACCATTACCAATAAAAATAATAACAAAAAACCCAAAGCTCATGCATATTATAACATTTAAAATTTTGTGTGCTTGTGCACGTGTGTGCGTGTGTGTACAGTGGCGGGAGGGTGGGGAGGGAGAAGGGATAATGTGGGGGATGAAGGCAAAAATCTAAATGCTTAGTTTTGGTCATAAAAATATGACAAACTGCTATGAAATATGAAAAGACAGATATTTTACATATGTGAAATAAAATTTACAAAACAACTTCCGCAAAAGAGACCATAAAGGTTTGTCAAAATAACCTGTTTGGAGAATTCCTTTGAAAAGAGTAAAATATTAAAACAGTAACATACCTTTTGCCCTGCCCTTTTTGTTAATACACACAAACCAGTTACAAGTTTTGTAGGGTATTGGCAGAACATCTTGAAGGAAATGTTCAGTTGGCAGTTAGAAATGTGGTTTTGGAATTCAAGACAGAATCAAACTTCAGAGTTAGGTATATACACACGAGATCTGATATTATAGGAGTAGAAGAGACCTATAAAAGGGAAGCTAGAGAGGGATCAGGGATGGAAGAATGAGGGTTGATGTTTCAATCTTAGGGAAGTCGATCATTTGAGGAGTATAGGAACAAACGATAGTTTAGGCGGAGATAGAGAAGTAGAATCAGAATAGTAAAATACCACAAAGCCAAAAAGATGATCAACCAAGTCAAATTTAGAGAGATGCAAAATAACTTAAAAGAGATCATGCTGACCTAAAACATTACCGATGTTAGGTTCTTTGTTTTTGCTGTTTGCTTGGAGTTTAAGCACTGATAGGACTGAATGCCCCAAGCCACCCCCCCATCAAAGTTCCCATATTTAGAGCCCCTTTATCTGTGACAAAGACCTCTAGTCTAGACTGCAGCAAAGTCCCTATGTGTTCTTTGCCTGAGGGTATTTTGTAATGAAGTGCTATATTTGTGTTCTAGTATACAATGAAGTTCCACTTTGAAGAATTTTAGTCTCAAAGACCTCTTAGAAATCCAGTCTGAAAAATTGAACTTGCCCTGGGACACCAACAAGCTCCATTATTTTTAATGTCTTTTGTCTAAAATGTTATGCCTCAGTGAATTTTTACTACATTTAAATGATACCATAATTGTCATCTTACTTGCCTTCATTTATTTGAACTTTGAAACAGAAGCATTGGTTCAAGGAAGGAAAACACAAACTCCCCCAAACAGAGGTTTGGATATCTTTGACTACTAAGGAAAAACAGTGAATAATACACCACTCAGAAAATAGATCCACAGTAATCTTTCCCAAGGAAAGCTATCATTGCAAGTCTAATATTCATGGAGGTCTCCAAGACAGTAGGTTAACCAGAAAAAAAGCTACAAAAGAGGAAACTGAAGATATATGTTAAAAGATAACTATTTTCTATGGAAAATTTCTTAGGCCATACTCTGCAATCTGAAATCTATGCCACTTATTGAAGTCTATCTTACAAATATCTATATGGTTTTCTGCCTTCCAAAAATGTTGAAAGATAATTCTTCATATCTCTCACATTTCTGCTTATCTTTCCAGCAGAAGCACTAAACTGCCTCTGTTACAGACTATCTTTTCAAGGATGTTTGTATACAGGAAGACAGAGTGTCTCCCTCCAAAGCAAAGGGCAGATATGCTTACTGCCCATTTCAAAAGATTAAGGTTCCCTAAGCTCAAGGTTCTCCTGTAATGCCACCTCATAAGGACTCAGATGTCACCCAGAGCTTTTTGTATCTCTTTGTGAGAAGTGAGGCTCCAGGAGCTGGTGCAAATGCTGCTTCTCTGGCTACTTCTGTTACTGTAAGTAGTAGTCTATCCTTTGACTCTGACCCAGGAATACTGTGTCTTCTGAAAGCACTTGTGAAACTTGTTAACTTGCAAGTAGGGTAAAATCACAAACCTTCACAGTTCTTGACATGAAAATAAAAGTTTACTTTAAATTAGGTTGTTTCACTGCCCAACATACCTTTTAAATGGTGCAATCATAAAAAACTAAATAAATAAATCCTTAGTAATAAGGCACTGTGTTGTATTAGACAGCACCTTGGTGACCTGAAAGAATTAAAGCAGTTCTAAAAAATCTTACATAAATGGAAGTGATCAAAAGACCAAAAGAATCTAACACTTCATGTCCCAAATGGCTATCTAGCAATACTTGTCAATATTTCTAATTTAGACAATATACCTTACTTTTACCAGTACTGATATACTAGAAACTGAAACAAAGGAAGTGGTCTAATAATTTTCCCACATTTACGTCACAAGGCATAAAGTGGGACAATAAAAGAGACCGATTATTTTCATTTGAGAAAGGGATTTGGAAAGAGCAGCAGCCACTCATGAGGCAGGGACTGGCAGCCTACTGAGCTGGGGACAGCCCTGCCTCCAAGTAAGTCAGAAAGGGAAAGACAAATACCATGATACCACTTATATGTGGAATCTAAAATATGACACAAATGAACCTGTCTATGAAACAGAAACAGAATCACGGAAATAGAGAACAGACTGGTGGTTGACAAGGGTGAGGAGGTTAGGAGAGGGATGGAGTGGAAGGCTGGGGTTAGCAGATGTAGGCTTTTATACAGTAAGTCCCCTACATACGAACCTTCAAGTTTCGAACGTTCAAAGATACGAACATGCATTTGAATGTCTAATCACGTAAGTTTGTTCACGTGTCTGGAATACATTGTAACATGCATGCGTCCTCTACAACAGGTTGAGCTTTTGTGTACTTTACTGTAGAGTACTGTATAGCAGCAGTCCCCAAACATTTTGGCACCACAGACTGGTTTCGTGGAAGACAATTTTTCCACAGACTGGTGGGGGGTGGGGGGGGATACAGTTCAGGCAGTAATGCAAGCGATGGGGAGCAGCAGATGAAGATTTGCTTGCTTGCCTGCCGCTCGCCTCCTGTTGTGCAGCCCAGTTCTGAGACCCCTGCTGTATAGAGTGCAGTAGTACAGTATCTTTATTTCAAGCCCAGGATGTCGGGAAGCAAGTGTGAAAGCAGCGGTGATATAGGTGGTACTGCTAAGAAACGCCAAGCAATAACGATGGAAACAAAAGTGAAAATAATTGAGAGAGTGGAGCGACAACAGGAAGAATAAGAAACTGAAGAACCGAAGAGATTCACGACGGAGGAAATGGCAAGGGGATTTTCTTTATTTGAGGAGGCACTGTTAGTTTTTGAGGCACAGGACGTAAACAGAACAGTACAGGAAGGTTGCAGCAGCCATTCAGAATGCAATCCAGTGCTACCGTGTCATCTATGACAAGAAAAAAAACAGCTACTACCTGGACGTCACTGGATCATTTTTTCAAGAGGGTAGACAGAACTGAATCCAGCAAGGAACCAGAACCTGTGCCATCGACGTCAGGCGTGAGTGAAATTGCAGCTTGCCCTCCATCTCCTACTGCTGACAATCCTTCAGCTCTGCCATCTCCCACCTCCTGTCCCTCCTCCAGTCAGTAACTCTTCTTGCCTGTTCACTCAGTGCCAGCCCCTGTATGCCAGCTGTTGTACTCTACTACTGTACTTTTCAAGGTACTGTACTATAAGATTAAAAATGTTTTATTTTTTGTGTGTGTTTGTTTTTTATGTATTATTTGTGTGAAAAGTATTATAAATCTATTACAGTACAGTACTATATAGCTGATTGTGTTAGCTGGGTACCTAGACTAACTTTGTTGGACTTACAAACAAAATGGACTTATGAATGGGCTCTCGGAATGGTACTCATTCGTATGTAGGGGCCTTACTGTATATGGAATGGATAAGTAGCAAAGTCCTACTGTATGGCACAGAGAACTATGTTCAATATCCTATGATAAACCATAAAGGAAAAGAATATTTTTTAAAAAGTGTATATATATATATTGTATGTATAACTGAATCACTTTACTGTACAGCAAAAATTAACACAACACTGTAAATCAACTATACTTCGATTAAAACAAAAACAAAACGGTGTCTTCTGCAAGCACCCTTAGCAGTCAGCCTCACCAAAACAGAAGGACCCATGCAGCTCATGTAGGGCTCACACCTTACACACTAGAGTGACCAGGGTCCCCAACCCCTGGGCTGGGGACTGTTAGGAACCGGGCTGCAGAGCAGGAGGTGAGTACCGGGCAAACGAGCAAAGCTTCATCTGCCACTCCCCATCGCTCGCATTACCGCCTGAACCATCCCTCCCCCCTACCACACACGAAAAAATTATCTTCCAAGAAACCAGTCCCTGGTGCCAAAAAGGTTGGGAACCGCTGCCCTAGAGCATATAGCTCTAGTGACCAGAGAGGAGTGTGCTGCTGAGCCCCACAGAATGTCACCTACAAAAGGCCACTTCTCCAAAATCAGCCAACATAACTGACCTACCCAACACAGAAAAAAAAACACAGCAAAATCTGCAAAATGAGGAGACAGAGGAATGTGTTCCAAATAAAGGAACAAGACAAAGGACCCAGAAAAAGGACTCAGAAAAAGGACTAAACAAAGGGGAGATAAGCAAGCTACTCAGTAGAGTTCAAGGTAATAATCGTAAAGATGCTCAGTGAACACAGAATGGATGAACACAGTGAAAATTTTAACAGAGAGAAAATATAATGAAGAAAACAAAGGTAAAGAATACAATAACTGGGGACTTCCCTGGTGGCGCAGTGGTTAAGAATCCACCTGCGAATGCAGGGGACACAAGTTTGATCCCTGGTCTGGGAGGATCCCACATGCCACAGAGCAACCAGGCCTGTGAGCTACAACTACTGAGCCTGCGCTCTAGAGCCCAAGAGCCACAACTACTGAGCCTGCGTGCCACAACTACTGAAGACCGCACATCTAGAGCTGGTGCTCCACAACAAGAGAAGCCACCGCAACAAGAAGCCCATGCACCACAATGAAGAGTAGTACCCGCTCGCCACAACTAGAGGAAGCC